AAAATGCGGTAAAACGTCATCGCCGACTCGTGTCGCGACAGAATTGGTCGAATCTGGACCAATAGTGGACGAACAGCCGAACTACTTACACGTTACGGAGAGTTTAGACGGGAGAGTTTACTATCGTCTGTACAGTATATAAATTAGGTACTGTAAGTCTAATACAGTACTGTAATTTTGTACATTTCTTGTGAAAAAAAATTTATTATTCAATGGCCATAAAAATTATTTCTATTAATGATGTTTCCAAAGTTCAACGAATTTTTCGCAGAAAAATAACTTATCAGAAAATGCACCCACTGTTTGGTGCGCTGCTCCGCGATGAAAACAAGCTTAAGCAATGGCGTCGTCGAACAGTGCACACTCAGTAAGTAATCTTACAATTTTTTGTTTATAGCATAGTTTATATGGATTATTCCCAAAAATTATATGTGTTTTGGAAATGTTGAGTGAAATTAGTCTAGAATCGATTAATTTTATGGAAGAAAACCTTTCAAACAGCCATAGTCCGTAAACTGTACACATGCCGGGCTGTGATTGGCTCATGTATTTAAGGATTCCTACAACGCAAAATTCTTATAAAGTGGAACGTATCTACCTTCTTATAGGGGGTCGACTGTATATATATAGCAATTCTTCTAGATAAAAACCAATTGACTTTTTAAAAAAGTATTAATAACATTTATAACATGATTTTTATGAACATGCCTATGAAACAAATAATAATTGTTTTTCTATATATATATATATATATATATATATATATAAATCATGTTATAAACTTTTCTATATCTAAGTTTGTCTATAGAGTTTTGTGGAATATGATGGAATTATAAAGAGAATAACTGATTTCTTATTCTTTGTCCTTAATTAATCCAGTGAAGCCTGGATTAAAGATAAAGAAGAGATTGAGGTCTTTGGACCAGAGACAAAAGACCTCCATCTCTCTTATCTTTTCACCACACCTCTGCAAACACCACTGTTACATCATCAGTCTTTTTTTCTGGGGTCTTTAGCTATCTTGTCCATCCACCTGTTTCTGGGTCTTCTTCTATGTCTTCTCCCCTTCATCTCCTTCTCCAATACAATCTTTGGTATTCTATTTTCTTTCATTCTGTTGGTATGTCCAAACCATTTCATTCTAATTTTTCTCTTTCCAAATTTTCCATTTCTGTTCTTTTCCTTATTTCTTAATTCTTTATCTTGTTTCTTCTGGTTTTACTTAGAATGCTTGTAAGGAATTTCATTTATGCTGCCTGGATCTTTGTGTTTTCTCCATGATATAGTCCATGCTGCAACATCATAAGTAAATATTGGGGCAAAGTATAATTGATAAAGGACCTTCTTCCATTTGAGTGGCACTTCTGTTTTCCAGATCAAAGTACTCATACTCTGGTACGGTGTCCCAAAGTATAGATAATCAACATTTCACTTCTTCTCAGAATTGCTATAAATTTAAGAAAAATGAGACTGATTTTATTTGTATATTTGAATTACTTTACACTAATTTATGATAATTTTAAAATTAAAGGTTATTATATTAATAATTTAATAACAAAAAATTTTTTCTGTCCCAAAACTATTGATAATAAAACAGAATTGTAAAATTTCAGTCATAAGAAACTTATAATTATGAAAACAATAATAAATAATATCAAGTAACACTTTAACTTTGTTGTCAAGTAATAATTTGAATATTGAATCAAAACTTTTCAAAATGCCACACGGAAGACAGTTTAGTAAGAAATTGCAAGAATATGGAAATTAAAAGCAGAAGGCTGTCGTGTAAAGGAAATTGCTTTATTAATGAAGAGATCTATTCCTGAAGTTATAAAATTTTGGGAAAATTATCACCAATTCTTTCTACACATTGATCAGGAAGACCCAAAATCACATCTCAAAGGGATGAAAATCAAATTGTGTACCTTGCATCACAACAGGATAAATCAGTTTTTCAAATTTTGTTTGAAAGTGAATTAAAAATATCAAAAAGCACTGTTCATTGAAAAAGTTCAGCAGTTCCCACATATAAAATTTCTGCCATGGTGAAAAAACCATCACTAACAAAACAAAACAAATTGGCAAGAATGCAGTGTGCTAAAGATCACAAGCTGTGGAATGACCAGTGGCTCTCAGTTCTATTCAGTGATGAAAAAAAATTTAATGTGGATAGCCAATTTCTGGCATGAAATTAGGAAAAAAGAGTGCAGTTTTTCAGCAGGCAAAAAGACTGTGGTTCTGTTGATGTGGGGCTGCTTTGGATTTATGGTTCATCAAACTCAGTGGTTTTAACTGGAAGACAGACATCTAAAAGTTATCAAGCAATCCTAAAGAATAATTTAATACGTATTGGAGAAAAAATTGGAGGACCCAATTGGATTTTTCAACAGAACAATGCCAGTATTATTGTTCATCCTCAACAACTAAGCAGCCAGCAAGAAGCCCGAACATTAATCTGATTGAGAACTTGTGGGTGAATTCTTGCTTGAAAAATTTATGCTAATAACAGGCATTTTGCAATAGTTTCAGAACTTAAACAAGAAATCATTGAGTACTGGTTTCAAATGGATCTAGAAATATCACCATTTAATTAAATCAATGTCTAATCACATTTTTGAAGTCATTAAACATAATGACAGTTTTATTTCATATTAAAACAATTTTCATCAATTTATATTATTAACTATTGCTCAAAGTTTAAATTTATCTATATTTTTGGAACATCATGTAACAAGTATTGTGTGTGTAACACTTTATGTAACTGTCAAATATTGTAAAAACAATTATATAACATTATATTATGTTAGCTTCTTGATAAAAAGCACTGAGTTCAGCATTAATACGATTTTTCTTACTCAGTGTTTTTTATCAATTTTGTCTTTTGTGTTTTGTCTTAACTCAGTGCTTTTTATCAAGAAGCTATACAATTTTGGCGTGAGTTTTATTTATTTATCTATTTTTAGTTTGCAACAGATACAATATAATTTTTTTTCTTTAGCTTTATTCTGGGATTGTGGAACTATACTTCATTTATCCCATGACAGGAAATTTTCATGGATCTGAAGTAGCANCTTTTTATCAAGAAGCTATACAATTTTGGCGTGAGTTTTATTTATTTATCTATTTTTATATTATGCTATAAATAAACAATAATAACTATTTGCATTGTTAAGAAATACTTAATATTTAATAAATACAAACATATAGATTAACTATATTTTTGGGACACACTGTAGAAGCCATCGACTTACTGTATTCTTCTAGTTATTTCTTTGCTTAACTTTCTGTCCCTTGATATTTCTGTTTCCAGGTATTTAAAGCTGTCAACATCCTCTAATAATTCTTTTTTCAGTTCAATTTTCTCTTTTTTTTTTTGAGTTCTCCTTGACATCACCACTGTCTTGTTTTTTCTCTTGGTTTATCTTCATTCCCCATTCCTCTCACTCCCTGTTCTACACATCCTGTTGATGTTGGACTTCTTCTGTGACTCCCGTTGGTAATATGTTATCTGTAAATAGCTAAGCTCTCAACTTCTTTCCATTAAGTGTTTATTTTTTTAATTTTTATGAATTCTATCCATTGTGATTATGAATAGAAGTGGGGACAAAACACTTCCTTGTCAAAGTTCTGTCTTTAGTTTGAACCACTCTGTTTTCCCAACTCCTGTTTTGACACAACTTAGGCTTGTGATATACATTGCTTGTATCTGATTTATAATTTTTTCCGAGATACCATCACTCTCTAGGACCTTTCACACCATCTGTCTTGGGACACTATCATATGCTTTCTCAATATCTATATCTATAAAAGTCATTACTAAGTCTTTGTCGTATTCCCAACTCTTTCCAATCAGTAGTCTTGCAGAGAATATCAGATCTGTGGTAGATTGGTTCTTTTGAATCCACATTGTTCCTCTTCTAGTTGGTGTTCCATCCCTATTCGATTCTGCACTCTTTAACTCTCTCAAAAATCTTGACAACACAGGGTAACAGTGTGATTGTTCTGTGAGGTTTGCTGATTAGGTAGAAAGTGTCATGACAATCGGGTGGTCAATACAGTCGTGTGAGCATGGAAAGACTCATGGAGACAGGTTTACCATTTAAAACCGTTTAATAGATATATAAATTTTCTTACAAGTATTCTTATAATGAGGCATGATGCCTATCCAAAGATGGGAAACAAATCTGTTCCGACGATAGTTTCGTTTCTTCCAGCGAAGGTGATGTGGAGAGTGACGGCCCTGGGGCGCACAGCACAACTTGCAGAGATGACTTTTGATGACTAGGTGTATCTGGGCGAATCTTGACGGGACGGGATAACGAAAATGAATCCTGGGACATCGAACAAGCCTTTGTTGTTGAAGGACAGATATAGATACAGATATATTTTATTCAACACACTAGGTACAGTGTATACTGGCACCACATAGGTATAACCCAGTTTGATACAGTGAGAATAGTGACATGCTAGATATATAGTAATTGTTACAATTATTAGTGGATTAACAAGGAATTTGTTACAGATATATACAATTGATGATTATGTACAATAGTTAGTAGGATATAATAATATAAAGAAATTAAATTAAATTAAATATTAGGTACAATAAATTCAGTAAAAGTAATCAATTAATACAAAAGGAATTAGTTATAAGTGCTTATTTACAATATATACATGCAATGACAAATGAGTTTACAGTCCAGTACAAATTACAACGTCTTAGCAATATGAAACGTTGACATAAATTTGAAGATACACAATATGGTTACGTTGATGAGATGATTGTCACCAAAGCAACATGCACAGAAGGGCGTGAGTAGGACAAGGTGAAGCCAGAGAAGACAAAGTGATCTTGGCAGAGGAGGCTAGGAGTAGGCATTGACCATGGTTCGTACAAAGTATTTAGTGATGAGTGTTAAGAAGGCATCATAAGTGTCCTCATAGTCAAAGATTCTCATGCAGTCAGTGGGCCATATTCCCCATGTGCCTCAATAGTGAGCTTAAGGCAAAGCCTCTGGTTCTAACATCGGGCAGTCAAAGAAGTAGTGTTGACTGCCATCCTCGACACCACACAGGGAGCAGTTAGGATTGGACGCATTAGTGAACCTTGTAAGGTATGAGTTGAACCTGCCATGATTACTGAGAAATTGACTAGCACGATGGCAAGGTTTGTACCACCTTCTCAAAATAAAAGGCTCAATGAGAGGGATGAAATTATATGTGGTATGATGGTTAATATCATTCCAGTCTTGCTGCCAAGAAATAATAAGATCCTTCCAAAGTAGGTTCTTGACGGTTTTAGAGGTAAGCTTAGTATAAGAGATAGGGAGGTTGGTGTCATCTCCTGCAGATTTCGCCAGAGCATCGGCTCGCTCGTTACCGGGCGTGCCCTGGTGGGCTCGTGTCCAATAAATGAAATAGCAGTTGTTAGTGTTGTTGATGATGTCTTTTATTTCATTGGAGATGGGGTGACCAGTGGCACTTTGCAGCAGGGAGATGGATGAAGCACTATCCGAAATAATGGCCACAGTGTTGTTAGTGTAGTTGGTGACTGACCAAGTCACCGCCATTTTGATGGCAAACAGCTCTGCCTGGAGTACAGAACAGTGTTTGCCCAGCCGGTAACGTCCAGAGGCAATCTCGTTGCTATTGTGGAAGGCGACAAAACCACTGCCCTCCTTAGAGTCTGCTTTTGAGCTGTCGGTATAAATTTCGATGTTTGTATGCTCGGGCTGAGAGAAGGTGATTAAATTGGGTGTTGCCGGATGCCTGGTAAGAGCATAATCAATGCTGCTTTCGAAGTCACTGCTATTGATGTTATAGTTTTCCATGTAAATGGTGTGGCCCTATTTGAAGTGCCAGAATGTTGCCTTAGAGATCAGAACTTTATCTATGGGTGCCTTTTTGGCCAGAATCTGTAGGGAGGTATTGGGAGTTGTTGCATACGCTCTAGTAATGTGCATAAGTGCACATCTTTGAGCGGATATCATTTTACGTCTGTTGTGCACTTTGCGGACAGCCAATCCCCAGCTGCCACACGCATATGATGTTATGGGCACAAAAATTTGATTGTAGATTGTTTCCATAGCCTCGGAGGCCAAGCCCCATCTTTTCTTTGCAATGCGGGCGAAGGCATTAAAGATTTTTCCGGTCCGCTCAGTGATGTAATTTATGTGCTCTTTCCAGAGAAGTCGATGGTCGAGAATTACTCCCAAATACTTAATGGATTTTTTAATAGTGACAGAGTGACCTCCCATTTTAATAGTGGGCACTCTGAGGTATAAGTTCTGTTTGCCCGGTTTGTTAAAGACGATACCTTTGGTTTTCCTTGCATTGAATCTTAGTTTGTAATCTTCTCCCCACTGTAAGATTTTATTCAGAGCGTTGCTGCCGTTTTCCTCGAGAGCAGCACGAGAGCGGCCCCCGAGGAGCACAAGAGCATCATCGGCATAGGAAACTATCTCATGCTGGCCGAAATCTTGCTCCAGAAAGTTGTTAAAAATGACATTCCAAAGGACTGGGCCACAGACAGAACCCTGTGGGCAGCCACGGACGACTTTGCGATGGATAAGATGTTCACCACACTGTAGGGTGGCTGTTCTGTTATGGAGATAATCATAGAAAATTTTATAAACATTTGCAGGGCAGTTCATTTCTTTTAACTGTTGCAGGATAAGGGGCCACCACGCGCTGTCAAAAGCCTTGGCAATGTCTAGGCTTATGGCAAGTACATATTTGTAGCTATCGAGTAAATCATTGACCCTGCTTACAACCTTTTCAATAGCATCCTCTGATGACTTCTGTGGCCGAAAGCCAAACTGTGAACCATGTATGATGGAATTTGTCTCCAAATGCCACATTAGTCTGTTATTCATCAAGCGTTCCAAGACTTTGCCAAGGACTGGCAGGAGAGATATTGGTCAACTTTCCTCTGAATTTCCTGGCTTTGGAATGGGGACAATCCTGGCATGTTTCCAGGTTTCAGGAAAAATACCATGTTTAAGACAGGCATTATATAGTTGAGTGAGTTGGCAGGGAACAAGGCTCCAGATGATTTTGGCCAGTTCTGGAGTAATATCGTCATGTCCTGGTGCTTTTTTATTTCGGAGGTTGTTAAAAGCATTGTCAATCTCATGAAGCTGAAAGTCAGGGTCGTTTTCAGTGTGGATGTCTGTGTTACCGCTAAAGCTCAAAATCCATTAATGTGTACATTACCTAGCTAATCTGCAGATTAACTAGGGTGATCTGTTAAAGTTGCGAAAATTATTCCATTTCTCAAATTACCTAGGTAATCTGCGAATTACCTACTAGGCACTCGGTAAAGTTAAAATAAGATCTTTGCTGGAACAACAGCAATGTTTCTGTACGCTTAAATTAACATAATGTTCTTTATTTAATTTTCAATATCTAAAGAATCAAGTTAATACAATCAACAAATTAGTTGATTGAATCAATCATCAATCAATTAAAAAAACTTTAATACAAAAATCAAACGGTTTAAAATATTATTACAATTAGGGAAATGAATTTGCAAAACATATGATAAAATTGTACTTACTTATTAGTGCAATCTAAAGATT